TTTCAGTTCAGATTTTGGCCCAATAACAATAGCAGGATGTATGTCTTAGAGGGTGTAACACCTTGCATACAGTCTATGCAATTACGAGCAGGCGATATTGGTATCTTTTTCGCTTTTACTTGGACTTGGAGAACAATAAACCTTTTTCGTATTTTGTGTGCTTGCATATTTTTAGAATGATTTCTCATGACTGGAATAAATAAGCTTATTGATATTTAATTTCTTGCAAATCTGAAGTTCTCTTCCTCTTTTTTAATTCCTTATGTTGCAGTCATATTCAGTCGAATAGATCCTGGAGGCAAACTTGTTATGGGGTTTCGAAAGGCAACTAATCCTGACAAACAGGTTAAGCTTCAAGGGCGTAATTTACTCCACCATTTGCATATTGTAATTTTTTAGAATGACTTATAAGTTCTATAAATTTGTTTAATGAACAGGATGCCCAGGCATCTCCCCTTCATAATGGTGTCCCTTCCGGTGACACCTCACATTCAAATGCTATTGAGAATTTGCCTGCAGTTAGTGGTTACACTGGTCTCATCCAAACACCAAAAGGAAGCAAGGATCCTCACATAAATTATCTGTCTGAACATTTAAGTTTAGCTGATGGGAATATCAGTTGGGGTAGCAGTGAGAGCCATGGAAGCAGGCTAAATGAGAATTCAATGCTGCAACCTATGGTGAATGTGGAGAAGAAGAGGACTCGAAATATTGGGTCCAAAAGCAAGAGGTTGTTAATGCATAGTGAAGATGCTTTGGAGCTAAGACTCACATGGGAAGAAGCACAGGACTTGCTTCGTCCACCTCTAAGTGTCAAGCCGAGCATTGTCACTATTGAGGACCATGAATTTGAAGAATATGATGTATGTGACACTTACCGTTTCTTTTTGTTTTCTGAAATGATGCTAAAATGATTTGTGAGAGCTAACTTTCAGATTCCTTTACATTTCTACTTTCTTGTAACTATCTGATCAACGTTTGTTTCTATGATATAGGAACCACCCATATTTGGAAAGAGGACTTTATTCACTGCCTGGCAATCTGGGTAAGGGTTTAAACAATGTGTTTTACTTCGTTTTTTGTTGCAGCATCAGAAAGTAACAATGTTACGAAGGGGTTTGAGTATTTATTTGCAGTTTCATACTGAATAATTCTATGGTATCCTTTGGGATACCTCCTATATCATTCTTCAGTATATTATGTCTTGTTCAGAAACTACTGCAAAGTTACATGAGAAGACCTGGGTTTACCTGGTTTTGAGGATGGTTATGTCCATTAACCCCTTCATTTAACCATCAAG